TTCCAAAATGCTTCATTAATGCGGCGGACTGCGCAAGAAATACTTTTAGCACCAGGTGCAAAATAGCTGGGAAAATCGATTTTTTCAATTTTTAAAAATTTCACCCCTCCGCCAAAACTTATCCAACTTATAAGTTTTTGGGGGGGACCCCGCCCCTTAAATTAATGCGATTAGCTATTCACTCCTGTTCGGTCATCTACAACATTAAAAACGTACTAAAAATGTAACGTAAAAAAAATCTAGGACACTCAATTTTTTCTAATGATTTATTCAAATTATAATTAAACTAGACGTGATCTCTATTGAATACAAAGTATAGTATAAGAAAGAAACGTATTTACCTAATAAGCTGATAAATATCTGTGCTGGAAGAAAAGGTATAAAAAAAGGTGTAAAACTTCTTTATTCCTTTCATTTCTTACCTGAAACGACTAAAAAACGCTGTCAGTCACTTTTTATTGTGATCATAATTTAGATATGCCTTCAATAAAATATCATTATTATCTTTATAATAAAATCTGTTATTACCTTTTGTTCACCATATATCGTTGTTTTTGCTCTCAAGATTTATTTTTATCTGAAAAAAAGAGAGATCTCGCAAAAACGCTTCAAAATCCATCGTGACCCTCAGATATATTTTGAAAGAAACCATGCAAAATAATAAAGACATTTTTCAGTAGTAGGAGATTTAAAAAAAAGTTGTCGTTCATTGCACTACTATTTTATTCTGAAAATCACTTTGTAGAAAGCTTCCAGTGGTGAAAAATAAAAAGTTTCAATTATCACAGATTTTCGTCTCCGCTCTCCGTAAAAAACGCCCCTCAGTATAAAAATCTTCTAATACTTCAGACGAAGGAAGATATTTGAGAACGACGGTAATCACGTCTGCTACAATCTAAAGGTTCATACAAGAAAAAGAGGAGAAAAGGTGCCTCGAATGATAAATAAATAGATACAAAATTATTAGAATCCTCTCCGTAACAAAATTTTCAACTTTCATATGTTTATTACAAAATAACAAACAATGAGAAAAAGCAATAACGGTAGATAAAAATCTAATCTTCATCATCCATTCTTGTCGCATACTGCTCATCTTCTTCATCGCGACAATTTCATTCTGCTAACAATTTTTGTATTTCCGGACCAATATGAACATGACAATGATGCCGTAGTAATTAAAAAAGAGCTTATTTTTGCTCTAAATGTAATAGTAAATATCTATGCAGACGAATAGAATTATATCAATAAGAATGTACCGTATGATATATCTTGACGATAATATTGAATAAACGACAATAACGCTTGATGCCATAAATCAGGTGGTTCACGTTCATCAGTGCAAAACTTAAATGCACAAATGGAATAAAAACAGGCTGTTTGTTTCAGAAGAGATTTAATTACTTGATAAAATAAAACAGGCCCATCAACAACTCTAAATGGTAATGCAAAATGTTTTTCAACAAGTATTCGAATAAATATTGAATTAACACCAGAATAATTCATTTCGGCTATTTTTAATAGTGCTGCTGCTGAATGTAACATTGGAATAGACGTTTTAGCTATTATACTAGAAATAATAATAGCTTCTCGTAATGTACACGTACCAGACTACAACGAATAAAAAAAAAGATCCGTCATATTCTTTTTAGAATTTAGAAGAGCGTTGAAATAGAACCTCGCATAATGGCAAAATAATGCCTTTGAAAAATGCACTTGGCTTAAATAAAGCTTTTCTTAACGCCTAGAACAACAGAACAATAATCATCAATAAAAATACTGCATATGGTACGACTAAGACTTACCATGTAAAGATGAAAATTAAGTTCGCTAAATTTGGAAGAATTTTAAATACCCTAGGTACTTTTCAATTTCGATAATGTGATAAAATTTGACCAGCTTGTTCGCACATATTTGTGATTCTTGAATCAAGTTCTTTTAACGCAGAACCTTTATCTAATTAAAAAAAATCAGATAAATAGTCTTACTAATAATTGTTTTCATCAAATCTTACCTTCTATCTCACTCTTCTTTTCTGTTAATTTTTCTTGAATAATATCTTCTAATAATCTTCGTTATTGTGGATTTACCAAAATAAACGCTCTTAATACTTGTTCATCCTCTTCATCAACCTATAAATTTGATTTGAGATGTTATAATAGAGAAATTTCCAAAATCAATTTGCCGGTATCTCAGTCGAATCGTAACGTGCTTCTTTAGCCACCAACTCGAATTTATCTTGCTCATCTTCTTCATTATCACCGTTTAATCGATAACATTTTGTAATATTTTCTGGTTTTCAAACTGAATACTTTGACTCACTGGAAAAAATAAACGATAAATTACAATATTCGTCAATACCATTTGTCTACATGGCATAGACTAGAAGTTCCATATACACTTACAAATGTTGACTTACATGCAATAATTCATCATCTATTTCTGCCTGTTGTCGTCTGCCTTGTTGAATAATTTTAACTGATAAGCGATTATCAATAATCTAAATAAAATTTGAAGTTGAGTAAAAGACGATACATTCATCACTATTGTCACTAACACGTTCTGTTTCTTGTTCTTCATCTTCGAACTGACCGTTGGAAAATCGTCTTGTTTGTTTGCGTTGATTTGTTTTATTAATAACACTTCTATCTCCATCTATTTGATCTAAAAGAGCGCCAGAAAATTTGACTGGATCACCATGACGCCTTTCTTTGCGATTTTGCTCATATTCGACCTTGTTATCTAAAACAATACACGAAAAAGAATGCTAGAAGAAATGTCATGACGTTACTCGATTTAGAGTACTAAAAGTTTGAAATTTATTGGTACGCCATGAACAACTGCTTTTATTTGTACTCGTTCTCTCGCATGTAAAGCAGATTCTAGGGTCTCACATACTTTTGAAGAGGATATTCGTATCAATTACATTACATTTTTGAAGTCAATGCACTTTCAAATACCTGAAAAAGTAGAGAGCGATTTTGACGAAAAACGTTGTTGGAGGTGTTTATCAATGAAGAGAACCCACTTGCCTCATATTATGATAAAATAGTGAAAAAAATAAATGGAAAATCCAAAAACAAAATAACTAAGCCAGTTGTTTTGAGTTGAATTATGGTAACAGCCAAAAAGTTGGAAAACCTGTTGCAGATATAGTGGTTCTCTCTAATGTTTCATATTTAATCAGTTGAACAAAAAAATAAATATAGAATTTAATCAAAGTTACAATAAAGCACGTTCTTTAATCATGTAAAAAGAAAAAGAAATCAATCTGGATAAAATTAAGATTTGGCACAGCCATAAGTGCAATAGTAAAGATGTTAAATTAGAAAATAGTATCAATTAATATATCGAATGAAGAACGCATTGTCAGGATCACAAGAAACGAGATACAGTTTTTTGATTTAAACGACAAAGAAAAACGTTATGTAATAAAGAAAATGGCATTTTCTTAGTTACAAAAAAGCAGAAAAATGCAATAAGAATGCGATAAGCATCGCTTAAAAAAGTAATTACGAAGATGGTGCTTTTTTAGCCAATGTGTTAAGTTGATCACGTATTCGAGTAAAATTATCTAATACAAGTGAAAGAGTTTCTTTTGATAATTCAATTTGTAACGTTCCTTGCGGAGAACGTTGTTGTTGTCCATGATCGATAGCATCTACAGCTGGATCCTTGATCTAAACATTATAATAGACATATTCCTCTCTGTTTTAGAAGTATACTACGCATAATATTCTCACATCAAGACAAAGAACACATGATGGCTGAGTACGTTGACCACCAACAGAGCCGCTATCCGGTACAAGTTTCATATCGATGTACCAACTAAAATCGTTTAGCTGTGGAAGCATCTAAAAATGAATGAGAAAGTTTACGTAGTTCAGAATCTCACAGATTAACAACCAAAAACGAAGAAAAAGTAAGTTGCTTCTTTAGAATCTCCTTTCACATATGAACAAAATCAGAACCAAAAAAGAGACAATAAAGAAAAATTATCTACATGGCGAAAATTGGAAGAAACAAATTTATTTATGATGATGGTGACTGGGACTCTTGTCATGTTGATAATGTAAGCGACTCCTTTCTTCATCATTGTAGTCATCATCGTTTTGTTCTTTTGATTTATTTTCACCGCTGTATAAATTGTCAATTGTATTGATGATCATTGTTACGTTTTGTATAATTTTTAATTATTTATTCATTTGTCTCTTTCTCTAATTCACATATTTATCATAATTAATATACTTTTTTTCAATCACCAGTTTAACATGGTATTGTGATAATGAAATGGATATTCTATCTTTCTTTGTTCCAACGGCTAATAAAACATTCATTCTCGCCAAGTCTTCATCCAACGACTGAATCTCATATTTCAAAAAGAAATACGAACAGTGCTTTATCAAGCTTATTTTCTTAGGTGGGAGTGATCAGTGAGTGGTTGGTTCAGAATTGTGGAGGACAGCTCGTTTAAGTCTTCATTTTTTAATACAAATAAATAAAAAGCTGCTAAGGGTTTTCTTGCGATTTTACAACAACAAACAATCACCTGCGTGCTGATTTCTCGTGCATCATGCCAAAAGATATATCGGCACTTGTTTACTAACAAAATGAAGCAATGACATATCAAAATCATCTGTAGATACTCGATCATAATCAGCTTGTTCAGCTTCGTTTTTATCTTGTTTATTTGCTTTCAACGATGCTGCAGATATAATCACTATGTAAACATCGATTTGTGTTACTTGTGGATGACCATGTTCGTTTCAATCATTCTATGCTAATTGTGCGTCCAGTTGAAGTAGACGACATGTTTCCGCGTCCAGTTGATCAACTTTATGTATTACTATGGCGATCGTTGTTGCTGCACTCATCCCTGGTTCAATTCTCTGATGTAAAGTTTTTGTTTTAATTTAAAATATTTTTGACGTTCATTTTGTTGCACTTGGACACCGAGCATGGTTTTCCATTAGTTTGTGCTAAATTTTTCACTTCTTTATCATCGAGTCCAGTAATATACTCTCTTGTTTCTTCATCATGCATATCAACATCAAATTGATTATTTTTTCAGTTTATACTACACGTTGTGCCTAAAACTGATTGATCGTTTTGTTGAACCAAGTTTGAAGGTAATAACTTTTTCCTCGATCATGATCTAATGTTTGCTTGTGTATGTATTTTTTCAAAAAACAGAAATCTGAAACAGGAAAATGGCAACGATTTTCGGCTAATGCTTTTATTTTCACGAAAGTTTAGAGACTATTTTTAGAACTACGTTAACCCTTAACAAGAACGACAAATTAAAAGTCACATGCTGAGGTATTTTCTCATAGGACTATTAGACATGCTCAAGGGATATTTCTGCAATGCAGATCTGCATAGATTCTGCACAATCTATTACAGTTCTTTAACAGACCACTACAGATCTTTAGTGCAGATTGTGGATAAGGTTCGTAGCAGAAATTCCGTACAATCGATACGCAATCTGCAGGTTTCTTTAAAAATTTTATTAGATTCTGTGCAAATTTTCTGCAGATTCGTAACTGATTCTCTGCAATAACGAATCTGACAAATTGAAAATCTTCTTATAGCTTTCTACTAGTTTCCTCTCGAATTTCTTTTGGCAAAAATTGTTTAATGGCCTGCAAGAAACCTTTTGAACCATTTATCTCATTGTATAATAAATGCATCATGTTTTACTCGGATTTTTCTTCAAGAACATGATACATTCAAAACAGCTCACAGCAGTTTTCGAAGTTATTAAACACTTACCATGGATTATCTCAGAACTCGTAGAGACTCTGCTTATCACAAAACTAAACTACTTTTTTATTATTGCTTTAGTACCTGTTTCCATGGACAAAAGTCGATCTCAGATTTGCTGTGCCGTGTATTTCGCACTTGTGGTTTGACATATGACTGGAGTGTGACCTCAAAATAAAATAGAGAAAGACTGATATCTTCTGGCTCCTCTGTGAGTTCGATCGATAAGGTAACGGCGTTATAACGGGTGGGCCATAAAGAATGACCCTCTCAGTATTTTGCTTATAACTTGGCTTGGGTTTGTTCCGAAATTCAATGTTTTTTTAAAAGATGCGCTGCGAAATTCTCTACAAAACCTAAACTATAATTTCAAAACTTCAATCAAGAAAACTAAGCCAATTAAATGAAAGTCGAAAAGAATGTAAACTTCCTAAACTCAAAATTTTTCTCGACTTGAACTTTTTCTTCTGCTACTATTTCCGCTAAAAAGTGCAACAAAAGTGAGAACTCAGTTTATGTTTGGTACTTTCAAATGTGCTCTTTCTCGTGGTCTGCAAAAAAAACCTTTTTAGAGCAGATGGTGTGTTCGAGAACGAAGTTACAAAAAATACATCAAAAGTTGACAACCTCTGTGTTTCCAACAATGTACTTAATCAAGAAACGAAAAAGATGATTGAAGTTTGATTTTGCAGTTACATAGAGAAAAGCCATCATTTCTGATCAAAACAAAGCAAACTCGACCGAACAAGTTTGAAAGTTTGAAGTTTTTGTTTTGATGGAGTTATGGGGCTTTTACTGAAAGCATTACTATACCCAAAATTTAAAAAATTAATGAAAAAATGCATGACAACCGACAGAAAAACTATTATTTCGCTGTAGCTTTTCATATGAAAAAATCTGAAGTGTAACTAAAAGATACAGCAAAATCAGGGCTACAAAATGGATAATTCAGTTTCTTACTTTCAAAACGTTAACACAAGAAATCAGTTTTGAGTTTAGGAAGTTTACATTCTTTTCGACTTTCATCTAATTGGCTTAGTTTCTTGATTGACGTTTTGAAATCACGGTGATTTTGTAGAGAATTTCGCAACGCATCTTTTGAAAAAAACATCGAATCTCGGAAACAAACCCAAGCCAAGTTATAAGCAAAATACTGAGAGGGTCTTTCTTTATGGCCCACCCATTATTACACGATAAAGAATGTTAACTTGAACAACTTGAATCCATATGCTATTGTGTTAAACAATTTGAAAGTGAACGACGAAAAAGCCACGTGTTGCGAACAAGAGTCACGTGATGCGGACAAGAGTCACGTGTTACGAATTGCACGTTCTGATTAACTTAGCAAACCGTTATGAAAAAATTTGGAACGACGACAATGTCTGCAACCTACACGTGTTAGATTGCGAAACTGTATATAATGAAATACAGGGGTTCTTTTAAATGTAGTGCGATGAGAGTTTTGCTCACACAAGTTAAAACTCACAAAATTGTTGTTTTTTACTTTTGTATGCTCAGCAACGTTATTCAGACGTTTTCTCGAACTTGATTTCAGTTTCTTTAAAAATTTCTCTTCTTCAGACACAGTTTATGTGAGCTACGGATATTCCTTTAGCAGATGCTCAGTAACATTATAGCTGGTGCTTCCGTACGTATTTGGTGTTCTCCTATGACGAAAAAATTAATTAAGATGGTTGTTTGAGTTTTTTACTACAAAAATAGAAGCATAAACAATAAGAAAAACAAAAAGTACAAAAACAATTGTTCTTAATAATATGACTGTTCTTAATGTGAAAATCTATCAAAAAGAAGTCAAAGAAAGCAACAGATGTTATTGTATTTCGATAAGTCAAAAATGATCAAACGCGTGAGGACACCAGACATATAGGTGGAGCACCTCCTAAAGGAATACTCTTCTTACCGATAACGCGTAACGCTTCTTCCATTAGTCGGGGTAGAGTACGCGAAGCAAGGAGGAAAAACTGATTTAAATAAATCCAAATCTTTCAAATCAATTCAAATTAATTCAAATCTTCAAATCAAAGCTGATTTGAATCTTTAAAATCTCTCCAAATCTTTTGAAATCTTCAAAATCCTCAAATCATTTTCTCCTCCTTGATGCGAAGGCTTATCTTGGACATTAACGTCAAGAAGCAACGTGAAACCACAATGGCAGTACCGATGAAGGTCTAACTTTCACTCAATACCTATTTCCCAAACGGGTGGTGACTATTTTTACTGGCCAACTGACTTTGCTGACTAAATTTGATTGGTCTGTCCAATGGTTACACCAATCAAACTTGGTCGGTAAAGTCAGTCAGTCAGTAAAATAGTCACCGCTCCCAAACGAATCATATCCTACTCATATGTGGTCACGCTTTTCATCGATCGATGGCTCGTGCTTTATACATATTATTTTACGAGTCACTCACTCAATTATCAGACATTAGTTCATATCGTCCAATAAAAACTCATAATTTCGAATTAAGCATAGACATAGGTTGCAAGATAACGCTCGTCTACGCTCGCTCTGTCTCTTGACTTTAGCAACTTATATCTGCGAACGACCTTTCATGAATTATGAATACAAGACAACCCTCACACTTCCCTTCGGTCGGCGTTCGCTAGGGGATTGTTATGTCTAAAATATGTGAATTTTTATCTGATCTGATGTGTAGTCTAATATAAATATAAAAAGTTTTCTGGACACCGTCTGAACATGTCAATGGTGCTGAAAGTATTTCTGATCAATTCACTACGATAGATTATCTATATTCTCTAAATTTTATTAGCCGTAGGCAACTTTTTTTGTGTTATCAAATCTAGCCTAATTTCTGACGACATCTGTCCACGGACAACAGAAAAAGTTTGCTTAGCTTTTATTTCTTCATCAGTATAGTTTAGGTCATCTTTTCGAATATTTCGCTGGCATATAAAAAGATTTCTATTTTCCTTCCCGATGATTGGCTTACTCATGGAATATCTAAAAGCCATTTTGTATGCAGACCGACATATAACCATTTTGTAAGACCCGAGCCTAAAGTCAAGGGAAAATCGGAGAAAAAAACTGAAAGCGAACTACAAAAGAAAAATGTTTGTTTGGTATTCGGTTGCTCCAGATGTTTAACGCTCGGCAATTGCATTATCACCCCCGTTTGAGAACATATAGCGCAAAAATTAGCAGAGGGAATAATTTTAAATGAATGACATAAAATTTGAACGTTACTGATGATGGTAGTGTTGATGGTTCTCAAAAACTTTAATCTTCCTTTTCGTGTTTGTAAAAGAGAATGTTTTAAGATCAATTCCTCTACCTACACAAAATAATGATTGGGAGAAGTAATTTACTATATTTATTTTCCATTTAACGATCCGGGTTTTTGACAGGACTAGTCACTTAACTGTGGATTATGACAAACACCTTCATACGCGATAAAACTGACTCTTTCTTCGAAATATCTTTGACTCGTTAAATCACAGTGTTTTGCTGATGATCAAAGATTAGTTTCTGATCGAATGTAAAGCAAGACAGCACATAAAAGGTTGGAATACACTTTTGAGGTGAGAATTCGTCGTAAGCCACTATCAAAGTGAGTTTACATTGGTTGTATGGGTTACGTTTAGTTTTCACACCCAGGATCGTTTGACCAAAACAAAGGCGAGAAAGGAATGTAGGAGAAAAAGTATGGCTCTTTCACATGGTTTTTCGAAATAGATGCATCTTCTGGAAATAAGTATCTATAACAAGTTTGCAATGAATACTCTCTGGTTTTTGTTAAATATCTGAAGAAGAAAAAAACAGCATTCCATTGACCTTGGATGAACTTAGCAGACACTTATGGGACGTAATACCTTGACGTTGATATGAATAAAAATGCGGATGTTTAAGAATACACAGGCGACAATAAAATTGAGAAATTATCACTTTTACTCTTTGTAGTGCGAGAATTTGTCCTTTGCTATGTCGAAGTGATCATAATAGCTTTTGACCTTCAGAATAATTTCAACATTGTTTTCCATTAAAAACAAACAACGGATACTTTTCTTAGATAGGGCATTGTCTCGAACATATTAATTTGTTATCGATAACGAAGAAAAGCGAATGGGAGGTCCAATTCGCACTTGTTGCTTTGATGATATCTGAGAACTATAACTAGTGCTGATATTTTTCTTATTTTTAGATAAGTGAAATTTTTTGGCTTGACGTATTTCTGTTTTGAAAGCATAAGGTCAACAATGTTCAAAAATTTAAAAGAAAAAATAGCAACTCAAGTGAACAAAACCAACACAACATTATGGCCAGCTACTACTACGACTGAACAGGTTTGTTTTTTTCATTGTTATAGCAGTACTTAATAACTGAACTAAATGTACTGCTGGTTTTGGATTGTGCATTTCGTATCTGGTCTTTTAGTTTATTAAACTATTGTTGTGCTTTTTAGACGTCCCCTCGATCAACAGATTTCAGCCGAACATCATCGATTACTAGCCGGGACGATAACGTACGTAAGTTGACAATGGCATCATATGGCTATGAGTCTTACTCACGCAAAAACCCTTGAAAGATTTGTACAAATAGTATTATACTAATTATTTGTGTTTCTATTTAGCAATCTCGCTCACGTTTGAGTTCCGCTTCATCTGATGTCAGTCAATTTAGTATTGGTCATAGTTCATCAGCATCCAATTATGTTTCACCTCAACGAAGGTACATGCCTCCATCTGACATTGAATCTGAACACGAAGAGCCAACAAGTGATCATGAGTCCAGTGAGGTATTAAATATATTTCTAAGTTTTTAACGTATCTTTTATTTATTTTCCTTATTCAGAAAATGAGTAAACGACAAAAGTTACTGACAATGTACAAGAATAAATTTAAACAATTCAAAGATGCGTATGATGAAGTTGAGCGTGAAAACGAACATGTCAGGGTATGTAGGTGAAAAGAACCAAGAGGGAAAAAGCAGCACCTGTTGCTAATTAGGACCGTGAAAGGTGCCGTAAGGTACAGTTGTGAAAAACATAAGGTAGTGGGATCGAATCACACATTGCACGGATCCTTTTGTCTACGAATAAACTTGGAAAAGAAAGTTTGGCTGCATTTGCATCCTACTACTAAGAAGACTACTATTTTTGATTCAAATGGAAGCAAAATAATCAACAAAAAATTTGTGGTGGCATTCGATCCCTTTATCTATTCGTCATCTTGAATTTTTACGAAGTGAGGACGTTACTGATAGACGAAATCTATAGTTTTGGATGCCGAAAGGTGCTATACTAAAAAAAGTGCTTTTTCCCCCTCGGAAAGTACGCTCAATGCTTTCATCCAGTTATATTTGTATATGTTCACAGAGTATTCTTCAACAACAACAAGATCAATCGACAAAACGATTAAGCGAGCTGCGTGAACAAATTAAATTGGACAAACAAGCAAAAGAACATTTAGAAGTTCTTTATCAGAAAGAACTAAAATTCAGAGAAGCGAAAATTAATGAACTGAACGATAAAGTTTGTCTTTTACACTGATAACACAATTTGTGAGACTATAGTAAGTTTTTTCTATTAGCTAACGACACATCAGAACGATATGGTAGACTTATCACACAAAGCTGATCAAGAGGAAATAAAAAATCTGAAAGAGAAGGTACATTAAATCTATCAGAGTTTGTATGATTATGATCTAAACTATTTTTGCGTAAACTTTAGAATGGTAAACTCGAAGATTTATTGATACGTTGTAAAGCTACAATTAAAAATCATGAAACGAAACAGCATGAACTCGTTAAAAGTCGAGACGATTTAAATCAACGTTTAAAAGAGAAAGAATCTTTAATCGATTCAATGATGAAAGTAAGTACTGTTTAATTGACTGAAAGACTGTAAGCACAAAAATCAAGCATTTTTAGACAAATCACCAAGATCAGTTTAGTTTTAAACATGTTGTAAAACAATGGTTGGTAAGAAAAGACAAGCAAAATAAAATGCGTTACGAATTTAGCTTGTATTAGTTAATCTAGTTAATCAGGCATGCATGCCTCGCGGTTTCGATAACTATCTCTATTCTTTAGAGATTTTAAAAGCGGTTGTATTCTGTTAGCAGTTTGTCAGTTGGAATGGAGAATGCATCTATGTTTGTCAGTGATGACGTTGCTACTGTTTCAAATATATTGATGTTTTTTAGTGCTATTAGTTCGTTTTTGAATCGAGATTTTGGAAGGATAAATTTCTCTCTATTAAAACATAATACACATGCACGTTTGCATGCCAGGTCTTTTATTTATACCGCTCTTAAGCTATGTCGAGCTGAATGATGTCTGACATTCTATGTCAAAAGAGACATTTTTTCTTTTATATGGAACTAAGAGACTATTTTTCTATTACATTTTTTCCTCTTGTCGTTAGCTTGAGGGATATTTACAAACAAAAAGTGCAATGTATTGGACTTACGAGTCTTTTGATTATTCTACTGGTATAATTCGTTTCTTTTTAGGAAAGACATCCTGGTACACCGAATGAATTCCGTGAACATTTTGAATCTGATATTGCCGTTTTATTACGGGATAAAGAACGTTTGCTTGAGCAACTTGAATCCACACGCTATTTTGTTAAACAACTTGAAAGTGAACTTGAAAAGATAAAGCAAAAACAGGTAATGGAAAACGATGAAGAACAACAGCAAATTGATAACGATCTTGCTACGGCCATGCGCAACAAAGAAGATGAATTAGCAAAGAAATCCGACGAAACCGATCATTTACAAATGTTATTAGATGCAGCTAGTAGAGAACGTGATTTATTCAAACAAAAATGTGAAGAAATGGAACAACAAAAAAACCAAGGTCAGTCTTTAAAAGCTTTTTTCTAACAGCCTAACTGCTGAATCCTGTCTTTCTAGACAGTAATATGAAAGCGTCCGCCGATGACCATAATCAGCAAATAAACGATTTAACAACAAACATTGAATCACTAAAGTCAGAACTAGATAAAAGACAAAAACAGATCGATTCCTTGAATGATACCATACACGATTTTCAAGTTAAACACGAAGAGTTGAAAGTAGCAAATGAACGCTTGATAGAAGAGAAGGAGAGACAAGTTGAAGAGCAATCTCGTTTGAACGAACAACGCGAAGTTACACATCAACAAACTATCGATAGTGTAAAGTTAGCTTATGAGAAAAAAGTGGACGAACTGAAGACATTGAATAGTGAAAATGAAGAAAAATTAGACAATCTAAATGATGTTTTGGAGAGAACGAAGCAAGAGCATGATATCCTGAACAAGCAAAAAGACAAAGAGGTACACTTGTAGAGATAGTTACTGGATGCTTGTACATGACTCTCCATGGAAAATGAACCTAATTTTATTCGGCCAATTATCTAGATTTAGGTGTACATGCATCTAGACGTAGATGAAGCTGAATCTAGATAAATGACTCCCAAAAATTAGGTCTTTTTTGCATAGGGATTCTTAGAACGAAATAGGTCCAATATATCATTACATGGCAACAGTGATGTTTTATGTTTATTCATTTAGCTTCAGGCCATTATTGAACAATTAACAGAAGAACAATCTCGCTCCACATCATTAGAAGAAAAGATTGAAAATCTAGAGAAAGACTATTTGTTGCGTGAGAACAATTTTAAGACAACAATTTCCAATCAACAACTCGATATCGGTCGTTTAAATGAAGAAAAGGAAAAATTAACTGTTGAAATATCATCAATTAACAATGCTTTAGCGAACAGCAATGTCAGTGATATGAATAGTGATAATATCATACGAAATATTTCTTATTTAAAAAACGAAATAGAACGATTACGAGCTGAAAGTGAAGGGTTCAAAACTGAATTACGTCCCTTGTTAGACATCGATACTGAGTATGATGAGATTCCAAAAATCATCGAGATAGCTAAAAGCTCATATTCTAAGATGAAAAACAAGTCTTCAAAATATGAAAATGAGATTGATGAATTGAAGAAATTCATCGACAGAAACAGAGAATTAAATGAAAATAATACTAGTGATGAACTAAAGAAACTTCATAACAAAATTGATTTGTTGACGAATGAACAAAAAGAAAAACAACATATGATCGGTCAATTGACATTAAATGCTAGTCAGAAAGAAGACGATATCAATCGATTATCAGAAAAATGTGAACAGTATGAAGTGACAATAGATGATCTAAAAAAACACATCAAACAATATGAAATTAAAATTAATACCATCGAAGCAGAAATATCTACAAAACTGAATTATGAAAGTGTTATTAAAACGTTGGAAAATGGAATTGATACTTTGAAAGAGACATTGAACAATGAAGAAAAACGATACATTGACCAAACTAATCAAATGGAGATGATGAAAAAAGAGTATGAAAATAAAGTTAATGTATTAATAATTGAAAATAAAGAGCATCTGGAAAAACTTCATAAACTAGAAGAAATAACAACTTTACAATTGGCATTAGATAATGTTAGTAAAGAGCGAAATTCACTGAAACAGATGTATGATGAAATGGAGCAAGCAATGTTGGTCAAACAACAACAATATGAGCAGAAAGGTGAGCACTCTACTGTAGTTTGGATGCAGAAATTTATCTGACGAAAATCGATCTAGTAGTACTGTCTGTTCAAAAATAAAATAGGTGTTGCCTTTTTTTGATAACTCTCGACTGAAAAGTGTCAGAAAGGTCG